TGAGGAGAAGACGGCCAACGGTGGCGGTGATAGTAGCAATGATGGTGGTGGCGCCGCTGGCTGACCACCGCTGGCAAGAGGATGCGGCAGTACAGCGAACGTCATACCATCGTGATGATGACTGCCTGTATTCTAAACACGAAAGCAACATGAAAAGCATCTACTACTCTATTCACACTGAACGTCACGATGTCAGTTTTACCAGTTAGCTCATGCTTGACATCATCTGACAGCCATCTGACATCGTGACGTGGTTAGAATGTGAAAGGTGAGAGATAGTTGATAGTAGTAGTTGATGATAGAGTGGCAAACCAAGGCTCACATTATACAGATGACATGCGGGAGTCGCAGTAGGCGGCTTGCACGGCCAGATCGTACGGGGTATTCTAAAATGGACGAGATCACGGTTAGCTGTGTGAATGGTGTGATGTGTGTGTGTGAATGATAGCAGTAAATATTGTGTAAGAAGAATGCCAGGGGTGAAAAGCAAGTAGAAGACCGATGATGCTGACAAGAATCGCACGAAGTCCCGCACTCGTACTTCAATCGCCTTACACGACTGAATGGTGACTAGTAGTACTAGTAGTAACTGATCTGGCACTGGAGTCCATCTCTATGGTGCTTCATGCTAGCACAAGTAGAAAGAAAGCAGACGACAGCGAAAACAAGTACGAGTGTGGTCTGCGCTTGAGCGAAGGCGACCACAAGTGGCAAAAGATCGTTCGTTAATATAAGGAAGGATAGGAAAAAACTCTGTACTTATAACTACTCTATAGGAAATGCTAGGGTAGGTATGGAAAAAATGAAAATATGAAAAGAAGTCAGGATGCATCAGACGACAGCTTCTCGGCTCAAATAGACACCCATGGCCGGCTCGCATACCTCGACAGATTGTGGCGTGTACAGTCGTGGTGCATCGGCATCGTAGAAGTTCTCTCGGACGTTCAAACTGAAACAGAAATCTATACTTCGAACCAAAATTCCAGATACAAAAAATAGGCCTCAAACTCACTTAGCCTTAGCCTTAGGCTCATTGTAGTCGGACTGTTCTTTCACTTCTGAAATACGATGACTTAAACTGAGACTTAAATCGGCATGAAATGAATTTTGCCAGAATTAGTTACAGATAATTAATGTTCTGACAACACAAAAGCATCATGGTCATTGTATTGAGCAACTGGTACTGATATATGGTATTTAGCGGCAAATGTGACAACCGGCCCACTGACGCGTGCGGCCGCAGCGCGTATCGCGCCCAGCCTATTCGCGTCTGTTCCTTTACGCTATTTTGGACCTGGCCATGAGAACTCTAGTAGGAAAATGGAAACACTAACACACGAACTGGTAGAAATTTTACGCCCCTAATTGATCGAACTAAAGTTTTCCATCATCCGAGTTGCCTTTATTGACTTGCGACTTTAAAAAATAAAGAAAAAGGTCTGAGAACTCACTGTTGAAGCAGAGAACTCCTCGTCTAACGC